TGTCAGTGTCGGTCCTCCATACAGCAGAACTTGGAAGAGGTAATTCAGTGACTGAAGCAGGTGTGTTGGAGCAGGGAAATACATGCAGGACTGCGGCCCTCGAGGACCAGGATTGCCCACCCTTGGTATGGGCGGAGCTCAGTCTAGTGATCTTATTCAAGTCTATGGGAGCAGCTCACTTCACAAAACAAAAACTGCACAAGTTTAGATGTGCCTATAACAAAAGTCAGCAGGGATGGTGACAGCTGAATCTTCATGCTGCCTCCTGTGCTCTTGTTACATTTTAAACATATGGAAAAGCATGTTGTATTTATAAAGATCACAAGTCTTATCGTTGTCTTTCTTTTCTTTTCTTTTTTGTCTTTATGTTTTAAACCATCTTTATGTTGACTTTGTAGCCATTTAAAATTAACATTTTAACATGTTTATGTGATTGTAAACAACACATCATGATTTAGACTATTATCTGTAAAACTGACTGATTGTGTTAGTTTGTGTTGATTAGTTGTGTTAGATTAAAGTTAATTAGAACGGTTCTCTTCTTTAAGAAGTTTAAAGTCTGTTTGATGGTTAATAGATGTTATACACAGGGATGAGTCACAGAGGTAATTGTTGATTTAAGAGCTCGAAATGATTTTGCCTCTTTTTCTTCTGATCCATTAAATCTGTGTTTCATAGGATTTATTTATTCAGAAACACGCTCACTCCCTCACACGCGCATGTCTTTCTATATACACCCCGCGCGCGTGTGTGTGCGCGCGCGGGGTTCAAACACCATAGCCCGCCTTCACCTCTGCGCTGGGTCTGCAGGGTCCAGATGTGGGCGGTGGGAGAACGGTTCAGTCCCACATTAAGAGGAACAGAAAGGACGGGGTTCGGTTCAGTACAGTCCACTCGGTGTTTAGTAACATCTGAAGCCCAATCGGACCTGCAGAACTGGATCCGAGGCAGACGGAGCCTCACGTGATTGACAGGGGGGCTCTCAGAGTGACGTCAGCCGGAGGCGCTGCCTTTAGGAGAGCATGGAGAGAGGAGAGAGGAGCGTTCGGACCCGCGGGGATCCGAGGCGGACTCACAGAGCGAAGCACCTCATCCGTACAGCGTCCAGACTCATCTGGTTCCGATCTGAACCGTATTCATGGTGTTTTTCCTGAAGCTGAGCTCAGGTTTGTTTTCTCCTCTTTTTTCCATCCATCTGATCTGGATCAAAACACTTCAACATTCAGAGATGTCTGGACATAAGGACTTGGAGCTCAGGACCAGTTTAGTTTTTAGTCTGGATTTAAATTAAGTAAATAAACATTTTTAATTGTAAAAAATTTAAAGAAAAAATAAACACTTCATTTTGCTGCTCATGTCTCTGACGCAGCTCCGTTCTGCTTCTTGTTCAGATCTCCTGATGCGCCTCATCATAAAAAAAACCTGGCACAGTCTCCGGAGCGCACAGAATCCTGGTACCACGCAGCCCAGAGAAACCCGATGGTCTTCAGTTTGAAGAACAGGAGGAGGACCCTGGATCTGGACCAGTGGGAGCTGAGAGGATTTCTGTTCAGGAAAAACAAAACAAACGTGGAGATAGAGTCCTGAGGAGCTGAGTCGACCAGACCAGAAGTAGACTGATAAGAACCACATTTTTCCCAGTTTATTTGAATCCACCTGAGGGGATCTGAGTCATCTGTGAGAACTCTGAGTAGATGAGAGGTAGGAGTGTTCTCTGCTGACCAGCAGACTTCTTTAGTCGTTTTACTCTTTCTGGGTCTGAATGAATTACAGTTGATGAGGGAAGAAACATCTCTGCCTCTTTGAGGTATTTTTTTTCATAAAATGCAAATAGACTCATAGCTTCAGTTCGTCTGTTTTCAACCATGGACAACGTCTCCATCCCTGATGGCACTCTGCCATTTTGTAACAACTCTGTGGACCCCCATGCCCACATGCCAGGGAACAGCTCAGACCTGAACTGCACCCTTCCCTCAGACTTTCACTTCTACGCTGGCCTGTACGTCATTTTACCCATCATCTACTCCGTAATCTGCGCCGTGGGACTGACGGGCAACACGGCTGTCATCTATGTCATCCTCAAAGCCCCCAAAATGAAAACGGTCACCAACATGTTCATCCTGAACTTGGCCATTGCAGATGATTTGTTCACGYTGGTGTTGCCGATCAGCATCGCTGAACACCTGCTGAACTACTGGCCTTTTGGGGAGGTTCTATGTAAAGTCATCCTCAGCATAGACCATTACAACATCTTCTCCAGCATCTATTTTCTGACCGTCATGAGCGTCGATCGCTACCTGGTCGTCTGGGCGACAGTGAGGTCCAAGCGCATGCCGTACCGCACCTACCGGGCAGCCAAGATCATCTCCCTCTGCGTCTGGATCCTCGTCATCCTCATCGTCATGCCGTTCACCGTGTTTGCAGGAGTCTTCAACTCAAACGACGATCGCAAAAGCTGCGTGCTGAGCTTCCCTATCCCCGAGAATTTGTGGTTTAAAACCAGCCGGATCTACACGCTCATTCTGGGCTTTGCTATCCCAGTGTCCACCATCTGCATCCTGTACACAATGATGCTCTACAAACTGAGAAACATGAAGCTCAACAGCAACGCCAAGGCTCTGGACAAGGCCAAGAAGAAGGTCACCATCATGGTTTTCATTGTGTTGGCCGTCTGCTTGTTCTGTTGGACCCCGTTCCATTTGAGCACCATCGTTGCTCTGACCACAGACCTGACAACCACGCCGCTAGTGATTGGGATCTCCTACTTCATCACCAGCCTGAGCTACGCCAACTCCTGCCTCAACCCCTTCCTGTATGCCTTCCTGGACGACAGCTTCAGGAAAGCTTTCAAAAAAATGTTGGAGTGCCGACCGGCCTGAAGGGGCATTAGGTGGCAGCCGTTGGACGAGGCTGTGCTTGTCTCTTATCCACTCAGAACAAAGTGGGAAGGCGGGGAGCAGATTGTATTGGATCAGAAAGAGGTTTTGCACGTTTCCATTGTAAAACAAAAACATAAAGAATCAAAGGCTTAACTTTCATTGAATTAATGCATATCACCCACTGCCTTCTATGCTAGAGTTTTACGTTAAGATTCTATAAGTGTTGATAAAGAACAAGCTGTAGCTGTTTCTGGTCAGACTTTGTAAATAAGATTATATTTCATCAGATGTCAGAAACCACCAAACCTAATTTTACCTCACTGTCAGTAAAACTGACTCAATTGTGGACAGTTTTATGTTAGCTAATACTGATTAGCTGTGGTTGTCATTTTTATTGGAGTGACTTTAACTGTAAACCTATTTTTGAGTTTTTTAGGGTCAGTTGGTTCTAACAGCCATCTTCACTTGGGTTGATTCTAAAAGGTTGTAACTCTACATCCAATAGTTATTTCTTCATTAAAACCCATTCAGTGATTGTTGAAATATTTTGCTAACAGACGAACCGATACAAGCAAAGCCGTTATAGTTTGCCTTTGCTGCACAACTGCAGGCAGTGTCATTAATGACTTTATAAGATATAAATAAATATTCACATTACAGTAAAGCAAAAACAAAGAGGAGAAAAATAAAATCTCTTCTCTCGTTACGGAACACGTTTCTACACAGCTTCGTCTACACGAAAGCTCACTAAACGTTTTCCTTTGAGTTTACTTTTGATGGAAGTAGAAGCAGAGTTCTGCTTATTTTTGTTAGATTTTTTTTCCTGTCAAAAGAAAACACATTTTGTTTTTTCTGTCTCTGGAAGCACAAAGAACGGAGAGTTTTACTCACATTAGAAAACAAAAATTTACAAGCTCTGTCCCAACGTGCACACGCTCATCCACGCTGGTTCCAAGGTTAAGATGCCTCACCTGTCAGATGTGATTAATGCAGTGGAAACAGCTCAGATGTGTCACAACAAACACGTATGACCTTCAGTGGACACCATCCGGTATTAGAGAACAATAAGACCTCAGAGCGGGTCAGGCTCTGGTTTACATCCAATCAGGACCACATCGCTGCAGGGTTGCATGATGCTTTTTGTTTTTCACCCTTTTTGTTTAATAATGTGATCCAAGAAAAGCTTTGTTCATAAAGATGATATGAAAAGTGACCGGCCAGAACTTTCTGTTGTCGTCTGAATCTAAAGTGACAAATGTTTTGGAGTGAAGAGTGGGCTGTGTTTCCTTTCACCTCCATATGAACTGGTTCTGTATGACTGAGGAAACGAGAGCCTGACAGCTGTAGACCTGATCCACATCAGACTCGGCCCAGGAGGGCTGCGGATATTTGCCACTATCTCGTCTGCTTTGTGTGGGCGTCTGTTGCCCCCTGCTGTCGGCAGGCCAGCAGAACCTGATGATTTCAGCTCATTGTATTTTCTCTTCATGTTTACGTTTCAGCTCCTTTAGGAAATATAATTATCTGTATACTTGTACAATTAATATGTAGCACAGATATATTTATAGAGTTTTGTTGTCATTTCTCAACAGGCAGAAATGTTTCGCTTCSTGTTTCTTTGTCATCAATGTCAAGAAAAACTTAGAAAATCTAATGTATTCTAAAATATATGAAAAAACTATTGACTAATAAACAACAAATATATAACTACAGAGACTACATTTATTATGTTTTAATATTTGAAATAGGAGAGAAAGCAAACACTATTTTGACATTTCTAATTCAAAAACTTTATTTTACTTTTAATTTTATTTTATTAAAGGATAAAAATCAGGAATTTATTTATGTAGAGCATATTTGAAACTATGGCTTGACACATCTTGGTTGTTTATTAACCAGGTTGATATAAAAATAATGATAATACAACTTTAAATCCATCTGTGCTCTCATTTAAGACTTTAGATGTTCAGATCATTTCTGTTTGATCTATTGAAGCACATTATCATGCAGACTTTAATCATCACTATTGTATTTAAACTTTGGATACAAACAGGCTTAAAAATGAACAAACAAGAACAGGTCCAGTTCAGATCTCTATTTTSTTATTGTGACAGGTTGGACTGACTGCTTCTCTCACCTATCATTTAAGCCTGTAACTCTGCAGATTGGGGAGGGKTATTGGAAGAAAATAAAATTTCAAGTTGTGTCACCTTTGTAATACACACAGTTTTGTACTTAACACTTAGGTGTACAATGTGTTCTCAGTGTAGTAAAGTTGTCCATGTGAAATTAAAACCAGTTTTCCTAATTTAATCTCTTCATTCAGTTTATAAAACTGCACAGGTTCATCGTTTATTCTCTCAGTTTAGTAAAGCTTTTACAACCTTAGCAGGACATGTAGGACAGCAGGACATGTAGGACAACAGGACATGTAGGACAGCAGGACATGTAGGACAGCAGGACATGTAGGACAACAGGACATGTAGGACAACGGGACATGTAGGACAGCAGGACATGTAGGACAGCAGGACATGTAGGACAACAGGACATGTAGGACAACGGGACATGTAGGACAGCAGGACATGTAGGACAACAGGGCATATAGGACAACAGGACATGTAGGACAACAGGGCATGTAGGACAACAGGGCATGTAGGACAGCAGGACATGTAGGACAACAGGACATGTAGGACAGCAGGACATGTAGGACAAAAGGGCATGTAGGACAGCAGGACATGTAGGACAACAGGACATGTAGGACAACCGGACATGTAGGTCAGCAGGACATGTAGGACAGCAGGACATGTAGGACAGCAGGACATGTAGGACAGCAGGACATGTAGGACAGC